TCGACGTATAGCCTGCACAACTCACTCTCTGCTTATCCACTTCTCTTTCTGGTCGAACTCTGAAAGAAACGAATCGTCAGTTGCTTTCTTCTTATCGCAAGGTGAAAACGCATTGGAAAACGTCGAGAGGAAGATTTTCCGGTCTCCCTTTATAATCCTGTTTGGAACCTCGAAAAAGCTGCTGGATCTACTTTCGACTTTGCGATTTCACTTAATCGTCTGAGAAAATAACGACGAGAGGTTGTGGTGGCGAATCCATCGCAATGTAGATAATTTTCGTTTTACTTTTCATTCGTTCTATATTTTTTTCTTTCTTTCTTTCCTAGATCTTCGAATATATTCCCTCTCCTTTTTTACTTATTCTTTACTCTTTACTTTTCCCCTAGTCGTCTGTTATCTATCCTAGAGATAATCACGCGCATTACTCGTTGGTAACGGTTTCTACAACGAGACTACTACTACTACTATCACGATGTTTATGGCGCGTCACAAATTGACACGCCTTTTTCTTATTTTTTTTTTTTTATCTCGAAAGACCGATCGAGCCTTTTGCTTATGTGCGCTCGTAAATCTGACGTATCGGGTACGGATAAATTATTAAGTTGGACTAGAAGGATAGAGGAGAGTAGTGCAAGAGCTTAACGCGTAGGTGGATATAGTCGCCTTGGCGGCGAAATTTCGATTTACATTTTAAATAGGTGTTACGAACTAACTCAGAAAGTACCACGGAAAGATAGTGAGAGAGAGAGAGAGAGAGAGAGAGAGAGAGAGAGAGAGAGAGAGAGAGTATACTATCCATTTATTTATTTATTTATTAACGTCTCTTTGAAATAAGACTTATCTGCCAAGTGAAATTAACAAAAGCTACTACCACTTTCTATGGATTAAATTGTTAAATCATTACTTTTTAATTACTTTATCAAAATTTTTTAAATAATATCTATATGTAAACGCATCGTTGCTCGCGTATCGCGTGTTTAGATTCATTTTCAAATTATCTTTTTTAAAGATCCAATCTTTTAAATATACCTATATAGAATGTATATTATTCGTTCCACGTGATGTCCCTTTTATTATTATAATTTATTAATCGAGATAAAAAAAATTTCTAAGGTATACCTATTTTAATGATCGTCCCTGTATACAGTCCTTAGGACTATACGTTACGAAGGTAGAAAAAACATCATCGTTTTATTAATTATTGACTGGACGAGCAATTTAATTGCCAGAGTCCGAGGAGTAACTGCGAAACTTTGAAATTATTATCCAAGTCTCGCGAAGAGTTAATTATGCTACTTGACATCGATCTACGAGAAGAGGACTTATAACGAGCACTCAAAATTCATCCTTACCTCCAATTAATTCTTTTTACTTATTATTAGTTTCTTCGTCCTTTAACGATAAGAAATAATAAACGAATCGATGAACGAATACGCGGAATCCAACAACGACGACGAGGACGACGATCATGCGCATCGAAAGAAATTTCTACTTTCATCGGAAAGGAAGATTTCTCTTTTACGTTCTCATCGAGAACGTCGTTGATAAGGTCGAAGATTCTCGGCAGCGGTTGAACGTCTAATAAGAGAACGATAATAAAACTGATTTCTCTCGTTGTAGTTACGTACTTATCTCTCTCTCTCTCTCTCTCTCTCTCTCTCTCTCTCTCTTCATTTCTATTTATTTACTTTTCTCTCACGATTTCAAATAGAAAAATTCTTAGCTCGCGCTTCACGCTTCGACAAAAAAAACAACAACTTCTTCTTCTTTGTCTTCTTTTTCTTTTTCTTTCGAGTTGGTGTGTTACCTAGCGAGGTGCCGTTTAAATTTGAACCGATTCGAGTTTGCGCCAATTAGTCGTTTACCGTCCGAATCGATGTTCGCCCGTTCTTCTCTTCTCGATGCACCGTAATATCTTTTAAAGATCAAGATACTTTCACTTTACGCGCTGCATTACCTTTTATACGTTTTAGCGCGTGGTCTGCGTCAAACGAAACGAAACAACTTTCTGTATAAATTTTCTCTTAAAATACGTACAATATTTCTTATACATATATATCTCTCTTTTCTTTTCTTTTCTTTTTTTAATTACAAATATTTGTTTCGCGAGACCCAACTTCTCTTTCAAATTTTGTCCCCTCGTTCGAACGATCGGTAATTTCGAAAGAATCGTTGTTTGTTTTTTTCTTTCAAAAGAGTGGAGCGGAGGGGTTGCAAAGAATGTTGGTTGTCGAAACAAGATCCATAAATTGTGGGTCCTGGATTGAATAAAACGGATCATGGTTTGGAACGGATTGGGTCACGTTACCGTTGAGGTCAGATTGGTCGCTTTAGCAACCTCGCCCATTTCCTACCGCAAGGGGAAGACCATAGCGTGGCGATAGTAGTTGTTGTTTCGTAGCACGCCAGCTTATAAACCGCACGACGACGCTGACGATGGCGCTTCCTCTTGGCCACCTCTTCGCCACCTCTTCCCCTAGTCGATTCAGACGACGAGGTTCAGTAGTCGTGAGCCAAAGAAAAGAGGAAGCCGAAGAAGATATAATCCGATCGACGTCTAGGAGGAAGTCGAAGTTAACTAACATCGGGAACGTTACTTTTAATCCACGTTATTTTGTCACGAAACGTTTCGCTATTTCTCACGAAAACAACGCTCATTCTTCCTTTTTTTCCTTCCTTCCTTTCTTTAGTCGTATTAAACTCTCCTTTTCTAAATTAATCATACAATAATTATTTATTATAACATTATAAAGCAAAATTTAGATCAATCTATAGAGTTGAGATTATTACTCATTTTTTTGTCCTATTTGCAATTAACACTTTACTGACCGATCGCCTATTAATCGGCTTTTTTTGTTGCCAACGCTTACCGAACAATCGCTTTTCTTGTATTGTTGTTATCAACATTTTATTAAATTTAATTATCCTATCTTGTAATGTGTTGTATATCCTAATATATCCTGTAATAACAGAAAACTGAAAATTCTCTCTGTGAGCATATGAAATGCACAGATACTCCCGTGTGCTAGTGTAGGCCGAAAAACAGTATCTGCGGCTGAGCGGCTGGTCAGTAAAGTGTTAATATCTTGTTCATTCAGGAAACACGTCCCGAATGACCATTGATATGTAAGGACAAACTTCTTGATCCGTGGGCGATGCGAAATGATGATCCTCACTATATCCGGAAGAAGAATGTGTACGGGGTAGATCAGCGTTCCGAAACGCGCATCGCATGGATCAATCGATCCATCGATCTATCAACTGATCCATCCCCCTCCTTTATCATTCCGCACAGAGAAATGCATCGAGAAGTGCATCGAGAAACGCCGGACGTGACTCCAATGTACAATATTTTACTTTCAAAGGAATACGATCTAATCATGAATAAAAAAAAAATTACGCGTTTCTATGACGCTTATCGAATAACATTTGTCCTGCCATTTTTTTTTTCCTTCAACCAACTATTAAAGACAGTTTGATTCTTCCGTATTCCAAATGGCGGCGGCAAGTGGTACCCTGATAACGCCCTAACGGTTCGCGGTTTATTATCTTTTGGCACGCGACACAAAGAAGCCTCGATCGAATCCGCTCGTCGAGAAAGAGAGAGAGAGAAAGAAAGATGGATGTGTACGAGGGCTAGGTCTGTAAAAGTAGGTATAGTTAGAATTACAGCAAACGTTAGGACGAGGAAGAGATTACAAAGTCCAAAGTTCCGCGCTTTCTCTTCTACACACCGTGTCTCAATTCTCTTCCTCTCTTTCTATCGTAATGCATTGTTCGCCAACGATGTCTTGTTTCTTCGTCTTTTACGTCCTTTACGTTTTCCTTCTACTTCTACTTCTTCTTCTTCTTCTTCTTCTCTCTTCCACTGTCCTTCTCCTCCTCCTCCTCCTCTTCTTCTTCTTCCTCTTCCTTCAACGAAGAGAAGATCTTCCCACGCACGTGCCAGGGCCCCTCGTACGAGTTCACCGAGGCCTGGTGAATAATTACCAGATAAAGATACCGCGCGTTCTGTGTAGGCCGAACGTCTCCTTTCTTCTTCTCTTTCACTCCCTCTTACTCCACCCCTCTCTCTCTCTCTCTCTCTTTCTTTCTATTCTGCATCAGATGATTTTGCAACGGTACATAGATGCCTATTCGACAACGTACGACGAAGTATCCTTACGATGACCACTATCGAACTGTATCCACGAGGAAGTTATCTTTTATTTCTTTTATCTGAATGCTAAGATAATGAAATGATAAGGAGAAAGAAAATAGCCAAGTCCAATAATCATTCATTTGATGATTGTCTATCTTCGTTCATACCGAGTTCGTGTCACGGAGCAATGATGATTCGGTATTTCATCGTCGAGAGAAAATTTCTCGTTGTATCTTGTCGTAAATTATTAATGTCGGTTTCTTTCTATGTGGTTGTATTTTTTCTTTTTTTTCTTTTTTACGAGGAGATCATAAAATTTGGAAAATGCGAGAAGAAGGATGAAATGTTTAATATGAGTAGCGAATAAGACTCGTAGGAAGTTCAACCATCGCAGGTGGCATTGAAAGGGAAATCGTGACGACCTGCCACGATGATGGTTCATGCCATCGTTCCTACCATTCTTTTATCTTTCGACTTTGTTTCTAATTAACGGCTACCTCGTGCTAATTATCCAGCTAGCGCGTCGGTAAACCACAGAGATTCTTTCTTGGCTTGTGACTCGAACAACGTACCAAAGTACCTACTATGTACTACTCCTCCTTGCTCTTTTCTCCTAGAATAGTTTTCTCTCGTAGCTGTAATTACGATTTCGTGGAAGATCGTCGTACTTACTTTCTGCCTAGAGAAAAACAGATAAAGAGAGAGAGAGAGAGAGAGAGAGAAAAAAAATATAAGTGAGAGTGAAGTTTTCGCGGTATTAGTTTAAACGACGATAGAAGACACGTCCCTGCCAATCTTTATTAACCTTTCACTCAATTGTTATTTTATTTATTTGTTTCTTTTTTTTTTGTTGTTTCAGAGATGGCAAAGAAGATGGTTCGTTCTTTACGACGACGGAGAGTTGACTTATTCGGTCGACGAGCACGTAAGTACTTACCTACTCGCATCGATTTATAATTCAAAGTACGTTAAGACGAATCGAATCCCTTTAAGGGCACCGTCTCTCTAAGAACCACTACTCCAAGCCCCTTTCCTGTTCACTCGAAAATCCACTTTACCGCTGACAAATCCGTTTATCGTCTTGATACGGATTCATTCAACTCTCTCTCTCTCTCTCTCTCTCTCTTCTATTCCCGTTATTTTCAACTGTCGCTGAGAAAAAAATCACACGGGTCAGCGTTACACGTTTCGAAATGCATTTATCTTTATAATTAATTATACGTAACTATTTTATTCTCTTTTTATTTTTTTTTTTTTTTTTAATTTTTCATTTACGTGTTTACGAATAAATTTAATATAAAATTGTTAATTACGTAGAGAATAAATATCCTATAAGAAATTTTCTCATTAAGGATAATATTTAATTTAACGTTCGCGAGTTTATTTTTATTTCGAACAGAATATTAAACAGTATGTTGTTCGTGGCGCCTTCTGCCAACAATCATTTTCATGGAATTCCCTTCCGCCCTCGGTAGAAGAAATGGAATGCGAGATGAAGAAAGAGAGAGAGAGAGAGAAAGAGAGTGAGAAGAATGAAGCCGACGGTCACGTATTATCATTGAAGTATCATGAACTGTCAGACTTCTAACTTTATAGCCAGGCAGTGAATCAAAAGCTGCCCCGCCAAGTGGCTTCCTCGGAACGTAGAAGCGTCAAAGGTCGAAGTCAATTGTGCTCGACTGACAGGCAGGCCGGTTCGCGTTTCCCGACTCCCCACGATCTCTTCGTCTTATCTTTTTAAAGGAAGATACCTAGCGGTTCGTCCATGCGTGATAACATTTCCTCTTCCTAATGTTAATGCTTGCTAAATAACATATTATCGAATGATATTGATTTAAATTACTAAGTTTAATTCTTAGGGATGTTATTTTTTGGACAGGTTTAAATTAGATGAACAATATATTTATCCGTTGAACGTTTCGTCCCTATTTGGGACTTCCTCAGCAACTTGATAGTTATGTTCATAAGTCAATATAACATCATTTTTTATTACAGTCATAAGTTTTCACTATCTTATATATAGAGTCAATTTTTAAAACCGTTATCCTACCATAACTTTTCGAACACTACTAAAAATTTTGGATAAGAAAAAAATTTTTATTATATTAACATTGAT